TCTCTTTTAGAATATATCAGTTAAAATATTTTAATAAAAACTGTAGAGATGAGGATATTAGGGCAAACTATTTTTCAAATAAAGTAAGTGCAATCTTTAAGTCACTTGATATTTTAGATTTTCTTTGATGATCATCAATAATGAGAAAAAAATTAACATTATATTTATATATTGTGGCTTATCATTTATTTTGATACAAGCTGAAATAGTTGATGACAAATTTTGAAAGAAAGTTGGATTTTGTGATGGTTTTGTTTTAGATGTAAATCCACTCTTTGATATCTTGTGACGGATGATCACATGACCAAGAGTTAGAACATTAGCATGAGACACAGATTCAAATCACACAATAGTTGACTTGTCAAGGAGATTATTTTTTGATTATATCAACCTAGGAAGATAATCCTAGTGTGTGACATCATTAAGAAGTGCTTAAAAAGCATACCACAAGCCTTGTGAAAAAAACTGGGTCAATAGAACTATTCAGAAATTATCAATGGTCATGTTAGCATGAAGTCACAGGTCATTAGGATCAGAAGTTTGAAGAATTCTAGCCTTGTACAATTAATGATCATGCCTGATTGCATTCTCTTTTTCAGAAACTGTAATTAACGTCTACCCAGAGTAGTTGCAGTATAAACTATAAAGTTCTCTCTCTTTTGTTGCTAAAATCTCTTTGTGTGTTTATCAAAATCTTAACAGTGGTGTAGATTTTGACTGCATTCAAACAAGAACTGAAATGAAACTAATCAAAACGTTTTTTACCATCGTTTTATTAAGAATCTATCAACAAGGGGGTCACTGACACCTAGATGGAAACAATTATCAACCCAATGACTTAGGCCAAACCAGATTGAAATTTTGGTCATCATCAAGCAATGAAATAACATAATTTGGATAATAGGATTAACTCAGATAAGATTTTTCAAAACAATCCCAAATAGGTAAATTTTGAGAATGCACATCCATTCATCTCTTTGCAGGTGTGTAAACCTGGAAACCTCTAAGTTTCATTGGTTTTGGTTGTCCCAGGTTTCAATCCTCTCAGGGCCTCATTCATCTCATTTTTTAGGCTTATATCAATATTTTTATCATGTTCTTGTTGTCAATATATCAAAAGCCACTCACTCATCTTCCCCAAGTTTTCCTGTTTCCTACACTCAACTAGATCCTGCCTCAAACCACCATCCATCTGTCACATGCACTAATAAATGTCGATCCCATGAATTCACCCTGTTTTACCGTGGTGCTATTATGTTCTTTCTATCAATTATTGTTTCTATAATTTGAAATTGAAGGGGTTATATTTGTAATTTAATTTTTTAAAGGAATGAAAATTCATTTAAAACACAGATAAAGTTCTTTTTTTGCATTTGTAAACGTAACAATATTTTAAAATTACTCTAACAACCAATTTTTTGAAACCTATAAAAGCATTATGAAAGACTTCTTTATTTTGGTTATAGATACTTACTAAGCTTAATTTAGTCTGGCACAAGGCTACAATAGTGTGGCAATCCAACAGGATCGAAACATACGGCATTAGTAGTAAATGGTCTGTTTGCTGACTACTGCTTTATAGCAGGCATTCCATTTTTACTTATTCAGAGGATAAAAGACTACATATATGTCAAATAAAAGCCAAAGAAAAAAGGGGATAAAAAGATGTTTCTTATAATATATGAAGAGAGAAACTTTAGTAACTGAAATGAATTTCAGAAATAAAAAATAATATAGTGTTAAAAACAAAATATGTTTAAAATAAAATAATCATTTCTTTACTCTTAGTAAGTCAAAAGCAACTTTCAGTAAATTGATAGTGGCATTTTTTAACAAGTTATTAATTCTCAATAAAATGTTATGAGTCCACAAAATGTGAATACACACACAAAGTCTATTGAATCATTGTGCAAAATGCTGCCAAAAAGAAAGCTCTAGTGAATATGGTCATTCAAAGGAAAGAGAACTAAGAAAAAAAGAAGTGGATGACAAATCTACTTGAGATCTGTCATCATCTCTTTTTCATCATCTTGAGATGATAAAAAAGAGACAGCAAGCAATAACAAGAAATGGTACAGAATATTAACAATAAACATCAGGAACAAATGCAAACAGACAAAAGAGGAATGACTCAACAAAAAGTACAAAGATAGAAAAATACAGCTAGCATGCATAAAAGAAATAACAAGACAAATATGTGCTCCTCAACAGAATAAATATTCATAATACTACTTGAAGTAAGTTAAATTTAAAATCCAGCAGATATTGGTGGTTTTAGTTGTGGTCTAATAAAAATGATATTAAAATTGTATGGGAAAAAATAATTAAAATGTTGAGACTATGTAAAAATTAATATAGAAATTATTTTTAGTAAAAAAAGATAATATTAAATTGTATGAAAACTAATTAAGAAAATTAGAAAAAAAACAAAAACAATTAAGCCAAATGGTTTATATATATATATATATATATATATATATATATATATATATATATATAAAACATGAATGAAAAGTGATGTGTAAAGATTTGAAGAAAAAAAGTGCGCTCCAAATTGATGTTATAAAAACCAGCCAAAATGAAATCAAATGGTTTAGACTTCACATCTCAAAGTTTTACAGGATGTGTCCAGCTTTGATATTTTCAAAACTCAGCCAAATTGGTGTGGTTTGATTGGATGGTGACTTTCAATTTTTTAACCAATAAGGATAAAAAGTATAGACCGCCTAAGGAATTAGTCAACAAGTAAGTTTTGATCAATATGTTTGTTATATAGGAGGGAAATTTTGACTGCAAAGGCAGAAAAAGATAGACCAGAAAGGGGTAGACCATACTTGGGTGAAAGGCTGCTGTGAATGAATTAAGCCACTTAGGCAAAAGGTTGTCATCAGAGAGAAAGTTCTGACCGTTCTGGTATATCTGCTGCTGCTGTTACTGAGTAAAGAAATAGAACATAAAGTGACCTGGAATGATAAAATACTACCACCATTATTGCTATTGACAAAGAAGCTAGAAGAAGTATTTTCTAAATTCTCATAATACAAATGGCTTTCATAAACATAATGAGTGTTGAGGATGCCTGTTCCAAAAATATGAATATTCATCAAAAGGTCTCCAGAAAAGCAGTTTCCTCAAGGGAGCTCAAACTTTTCTCCTCCTCCCCACTGAACTTTAAACTTCAACTATCACCTTCAAATTTTAACTTCCAACTTGTGAATCAGTGTTATTTTGAATTGTGAACTTTTCAAAGTAAGTAAATTTCTATTGTTGCTTAGAAATTGATTAATATGACCTGTAGCTGTAAGAGAAAGTTGTTAAAATTCCTTTGTTGTTAAGGAAAACATTTGCTTTACAGACTGTAGTTCTTTAAAAGAAAATGGATTTGTATTCGAAAGAACTGTTAACCTACTTTGATAATTTGAGGCACACAAGAGAAATTTTGTGCAAGGCCTATATTGTAACCTGTACTATTTGTATATTAGAAAGATATTTTTGTCATTGTAATTTTCTCTGCAAATTTCACACCAGAGTAAGAATCTTGTGTTTTTTCATTTGCACCATTCAAATAATCAGGATAAGAGATATGACATCCTCTCTTCTCCTTCTCTCCCAATATAAATCCTTAGACACTGGCTGCATTATTTGATAGGGTAGCGTGTTGCCTCTTCCCCACATTCTGGCACCCTTTTCTTATATACAAGTTTGTCTCTTCTTTCAGCTTGAGGGATGCCTACTTTGCATAGAGGGGAGCTTTTCCACTTTATTTTATCATCTCCACCATCATTTAATACCTTTTGTTTTATTAATGTGAGACATAGCTTGATTTAGTAAATTTTAAATTAACAACAGATATTCATGAAGCTTTGCTTATTCTGCCACCCAATGAAGACAACATAAAGTTAGTCTGTCAGACTAACTTTAGTTGAATGACTCTGGCAGAGGGCCCACAATAGTGATGCACTAAGTAAGAACCAATGTTACTACTATTCAATAGTATGCAAAAGTAAAACGAACTTATTAACCACTGCTCTGTGGCAGGCGCCCAACATATAGTAACGTTATTTTACATTATAAGGGGCTGGCCCAAAGCCTTGTGAGTGAAACTGGGTAAATGGAGCCGTCAATGGTTGTACTAGCACGAAGTCACCGTGTTCGAGATTTTGAGCGTGTACTGTAGGCCTTGTTCAAACAGTTGATCATGCTAGAGATAACACACTCTCTCCTAAAGTGTAACTAAGGTCCGCTCAGCACAGTTGCAGTATAAACCACAGGTGGGTTATGTGGATGTTAAACAAATATAAATGTGCCTGAGCAGGCGTCTGCAAACAGGGATTGGCTAGCCGCCATAGTAGACGGGCATCCTCGGATACGAGTGGCCAACGATTAAAACACAAAATACGATAAAAAAATAATTTTCAATTTTAAACAAATCAAATAAAATAAGTAACTTTAAAAAGAAAAATGTAGAGCATTGTTGTTAAAGTTCTGTTAGTTAAAACTTTAAAAAAAAAAAGTGGGGAGACACATTTATTTTTAAAACTTTTTGTTAACAATCGAAATGGAACAAAAATAAAAAAAATAGTTAACTTGCCTGAGAATTATTTATGATTTTTTGTGGTGTTCCTGGCGACATATTCCCGTCCAAAATTATTCGTCCATCTCTGTTCAAAGCATCCACCTCTCTGCTTACCACCATTGTAAATATTATTATAAAAAAAAAAATTAAGCAACAACGCAGCCCGTTGCTTAGCAAACTGTAAACAATTGACTACATTTTAAGTAGTATACAATAAATAAAAAATATCCCTGCGTGAGAAATACTATTTTCGAAATTTTTAGCATTCTAAAAAATTATGACAATTAATTTTAACAAAAATAAAAGATATTACCTGTTCTTTGATGATTTAGTCGGCATTAGTTTTACCTGCTGGAATGTTTAGTATACGAAACTAAAGAGGCTGTTTTTACGTTTTTAAAGACAACGTGGACCGGGAACGAAAATGGCGCTTGTCGGTGTTAATATTGTATGTCTTCTCGTTTTAATATCGTCTGCAGTTTGCATTGCCGATGAAAAATGCTATTCGTTTGCAGGTGGACAGGTTTATCCCCAAGAAGACAGAAGATTGTCTGGACATACCATCCAATGGAGTAAAGCTATAAGTATGCATTAATTAATTTCAGTTTTACAGCTACAACGAATGACAACTGAAAGTAGAAAAAAACGTTTTGCTCCTGACCGGCTTTTTCTATGTTTTCATTTTAATCTAATTTCAAGAGAATTTTACAGCTGTCACATTAAATTCATCTATGTATAACAATAGTCTTATCGTTCTAAATGAATATTTTCTCTTAGGATTTTTCCTTAAAAAAAAATCTCGTTAAAAGGTTTTCAAGACTTTTTATTTATTTATTTACAAATTGTAAAATATTGAAATAATTTAATTGAAATCTTGATTTTGTGTAAGGCCTTTTTACACAAAATACGAATTTTAATAACAACAATTTACATGGATTTATATAGTTTTTTGACTCTCTTATTTCAATAACATGATGCAAGTGAAGAGAGATTATTAAAATTTAAAAAGAATTCCATAAAGTCTAATTTGATTTTTCTAAATTCTTTGCAATGTAAAGAGTCTGAAAAATTTCAAATTATTTTTAAAATTTATGCAAAACATTTTCGTGAACTTTGTGAAAATATTTACAGAATTTAAAAATCAATGTTCCAGAGAACATTTGCATTAAAAAAAGAGGGAAGGAAAATAAATAAACCTCTTTTTAAAATAATGTAATTACTTTAGTTTAAGAAAATAAAAACCCAAGAAGATGAAAATTATTTCCTATTTTAAACTTTTTGATTCTTACATTTTTGTTATGACGTTTTTCTTTTTTAAATTTGCGAATGTTACTCGGTTTTCAACAAAATTTTCTTTAGTAAAGAAAGTAAATGTTAATTTTCAAAATTAGAAATCAACTATTATTTTTAATTTTTTTAAATGTGCATATGAAAACTAAAAACGTATCTAGCATTTGATGTCAAATATTAGAAAATAATTTAAAATTTTGAATGCATTTTTTTTATTCAGTCGATCTATATTGGGAATTGTGTGGAGACTAGGGAGGGAATTGTTATTAGAATTTGAAAAGTGTTTTTTTTTTTTTTTTAATTTTGTCACTTCAAATTGTACTTTTTCGAAATTTGGACATTAATGTCAATATTGTCAATGAAACTTTGTATCGGTAATTGTTATTGTTTGCTAAAGAAGAACTTTGACTAAGTTCATATTTCAAATTGACTATTTTTTCTTTTAATAATAATTACAAAGCAACTGTCAGAATTAGTTCAACACCAGACCAGATAAATTTTTCGTTTTATTTGGTGAATTTTCAAAATTATTTAAATATACTATGGTCTTTTTTTGTCGATCATCGATAGATGAAGCAGTACTGAGTAGTAAAGTAAAGACAAGTTTTTTGGTGCTATTTTTCTGTGACAGTCATGTAAATTTCCTTTACCCAATATCCAGTTCTTTTGTCCTGACATTTACATTATCTCTTCTAGATCGTCACAGAAGTGACACGTGTCATCATGTCATGGGCATGATTTTATTTTTAAAAATGACATCTGGGATCGATTGCATTTTGTGTACTATGACCACACGAACTTTTTGGTTACTTACTGTAATGTAAACAATTTTTTGTGGAATTCACACTAAAAATAATAATAATATTTCTCATTTTCTTTTTCTTTTTAATCCAATCTTAACCATGAAGCTTTTATTGTGTACACGAGAGAATGACAAAAATGAACATGGAGAAATCAATGATTATTGTTGTAATTATGCCCAAGTTTTAGACTAGAGAGGAAAGTGCAAGGGTGCATAGTCGGACGCTGGATTTTTCCATGATTTCGGGAAAAAGATATTTGCATAAGCTAAAGACTAGTATTTATTCAGATTTTGATCAAGAAATTGAATAGAGAGTGACCAAGGCGACTCATGGCTAGCCTAAGAGAAATGACCCGCCCCTGATGTCTCTCAAAACAAAGGGCAAGGCAATGAAACTAGCCTTTTTAGTTAATCACGTGGCCATTTAATTCCTGCCCAAGACAAGCGCGTGTCCGCGCACACAATGTTTGTTTTTTTTTTTTTAAATTTGTAAGAGAATAAGACTAAGAAAAGTGATAATTTTAAAAATTAACAATAACAAACTTCACAATATCTTCCTTTATTAATTTCGAGGTTAAGGTTAATTAATTACAAATTACTCAGTGATGCTAAAGCGTAAAACTAAAAGCATCTTGGTCTTTAATTCGCTTCAATATACACCCACTTTCTCTAGACTTGAACACTCATCTTGTTCCATTTTGCCAAATTAATAATCACCACGTTAAAAAAGAAAGAAAGGAAACGGGTTAGTTGCTGGTTGTGTTTGATAAATTCGTTTGTAGGTTAAAATTTTTAACCTACAAACGAATTTGTAGCTGATTCTCCTCCACTTCTTTTTAACTTAAAAAGAAGTGGAGGAGAATCAGCTACAACTTGACCCAGTTATTTTCACCTTTTGAAATCAACGTTAAGCAAGGGAATTCATTTTTTTTAGCTCTGCTGTTTGGGAGAAGCTAGAGTAGTTGTTCATCTATGTCACTTTCTGGTAGGTACCTCCCAAAAAATACGATTTTTAAAAATGAAAAATCTTAAAACCTTTATTATTTTAATTTCAAGAAATTTAATATTTCCAATGAGCAAAATACTTTGTTGTATTTCAAAACGAATTTAAAATAGATTGGAATGAGTATTTTTTTAAATCACTAAAAAATTTATAGCTGATCTTTTAGTCATATTTTTACAATTCTCTCAGCACAACGTAATTCTTTCTTAAAATAAAATATAATTTTCTGAAATTTTATTTGAGGAAGATTAGCTGATTTGAAACGAATCTTACTTTAAAATACCGCAGGAAAGCATTTTTTTTTAACACGGGGGTGGGTGTTTTATGAGTGTTGACAGACTGATGTTTGAGTTTGGGAAATTTGTCTTTTGCGAGAGAAATGTTCCTAAAAATTACTTGAGGAATATAACGTGAGCGCCTTTTATTTTTTAACTACCAATAATGATTACTCAGTGTGTATGTAATGTTAAATTTAGAGATTAATGTTATTGAATTTTCGGTACTTTGTCTTTCAATTTGCCATAGTTTTTTTTATTTTCTAATGTTGTGTTGTGTATGAACATTGAAAAATTGTCACGTTTTTATACACATAGCAAAAAATTAAAAAATTCTTTTTAAAATGCTGGAGGTTGCTGAATTCTTGTAAGCTTTTCCATGTATGATTAGTATAGATTTTTTTACTTAATAACAATATCACCTAACTGGTACAAATTAATACATAATTTAAAAAAATGAAAACAATTCTTGTAAAAATTCATTAGTAATAAAAAAAGTTTTAGTGTCCATAAGATATCTTATTCATAAAAGCAATTAAAAGCTTTTTTAATTGAATGTTTTAGTTTTATTGCATTTTTTCACTATCTTTCTTTTTTTTTTTTTTTTTTTTGGCAAGAATTTCAAATCAAAAAGATACTAAAATCCAAACTAATTAATCTACTAGCAAGGATACACGGCGTTGCTTGAAAGATCTCTGAATAATAATACTTTATTATTGACAATTTATTGATATTTTTCAGCCATCTTATGGAAAATAATTTTTGGTTCAATCTTTAAAAAATAAACCTAATTTTTTTTTTTTTTTTTTATATTTTAATTACAAAATAACTAAATTAGGAAAATACAAAACTACCAATACCATGCTGGTGGGGTGGGCTCAAGGGGCTGACCATCTCCATATTTTTATTCAAAAAGATACTTTATTTTTCGATTTAAATACTAACATAAATACTCTGTTAATGTTTTGAAACAAATCAAACTTAGATAAAAGTTCATTAACCTTTTTTCAAATTATTAATAAAAAAAAGTTAATAAACTTAAATTATTTAAACATATTTAATTTAATAATTTTTTCAAGCAAAAACTATGGCAAGCCTTACTTCTTTAAAAAATAATTATTTACTATTTATTTTGGAGGGGAATTTAGATTATTTTAAGTAAATCAAGTTTTACTTTTAAACATTAATTACTATTTTGAAACAGTGTAGAAGCAAGATATATTGAGAATTTAGTTTTGAAAAGCAATTGTGTTAAAATTTCAAGTTGTATTTGAAAAGAAAAAACTTAGACATTACTTATGGTCAATGTTGAATATTTGTTTTATGAATTTAACTATATATTATTTAAATTAATTTTTGAAAAAATAAGGCTCACTATAGTATAGTTTTTTGCTTTAATAAAACTTAACTGAAAATTATTTACTTTTTTAAGTTAATTACAAACCAAAAAAAAAAAAAACAATGAAGTTTATTTTTAAAGCTTGATTTAAAAAAAAAATTATTTTCCATAAGATGGCTGAAAAATATTTATAAGTCAATGATACATGTACACACAGACAACTGCCCTTTAGGGTGATATTGAGTCTGTATATTTATTTTGTAGCCAGACACACACACACACACACACACACACACACACAAATATTTGAATAAATATTAAACTTTTTGTCAAATAATTGTATTTAATATTCTTCTTTTAAATTTACTTTGTTGTTTTAATTTTGATTTTATTTTTTTTTATTTTATTTTATTTTTTTTTTTATAAAGTTACGCATTTATTTACTATAGATGGGAAAATAAATTCAAGAGAATAGAAATTTTAAAAATACATGTATAGCGTTTAGCAGGATAAAAAAGTAAATATGAACGCTAATCCTAATCTGGAATAAGAATTATTACCGTTCATTTTTACTTTTTAATTCTGAGATTTCAAATGCATTTTAACTTAAAAAAATATCTTCATAAATACAAATCATACGATGATAATTTCTCTATAAAAAGCTGCCTTGGGTGATAATGAATCTGTATACATATTTACTTTGTCGTAATTATTGTAGTTTTTTAGTTTTAGCCACACGCACACACACAGAACTGCTCTTTATATATGTATAGATAGATGGTCACCTGGTGATGCAAGGAAAAAAATTTTAACCAAACTTTTGAAAGTTCTAAAAAGAATTAAAAAATATAATTTAACAATCAAAAAATTCTTTG